CCCCGGTGACACTGGACCGTCGCCTCCTCGGGCGGGGGGATCCGCTTCTCGCCTTTCGCAGCTCGGCAAGCGCGAGGCGGGGCGCGGGGAAGCGCTCTCCCCCGTCTCCTCTCCCAGCCGGGTGACGGAGACCGGAGCGTCGAAGCGGGGAGCCGCTGCGAGGCAGCGAACCGGAGGAAGCGAGTGCAGTTACTCACCTGGACTCCCCCCTTCCTCATCGCGGTGTTGGGTTTGCCTCGGCTCTGCCCGCTGGCTGCCGGGGTACCGGGCGTCCTCCCTTTGATGCGTAAAGCCGGAGCGGTGCTCAGCTGATGTAAACCAAACCGGGCGCTTTATGTACTGCTTAGGTACAAACACCTCTGGGGCGGAAGCTGTTGAGCTGCACGGCAAATTAAACGGCTCTTGCGTGGTGGAACAGAACAGCTTCCCCAGGTGAAGCAAGAAAAACTCGAGGTGGGGCTACAGTAACTAGTTGGGAGTTTGTGGTACTAATGCTGACCCCTTCCTCCTTTTTGTAGGGAGAGAAACAGTAAGACAGAAGGAGGGGGAGGGAACATAGTACCTCAAAACTTTCGGCTGCTGTCCCAGCGCTAGGTTGGAAACTTGTTTCGACTGTACTGTAGCCATCGGCACCACTGCCTGCAGCGTCTTTATTCTTTCCAAGGGTTTTCACTTCCAAACAGCGCACAGTGGACATCAGTGTGTGTCTGTGACGGGACAGACTGATGTGAGGTAAATGATGGTGGTGTATGCATACCAAAAAATGTTTTCCTAAATGGCCCAGCTTATAATTGCACCTAGTTTTAATATAACGAGAGTAAGTTTCTACCTGGCTTTGTGATGGTCGCACTCGATATCTTGTATTTGCCCGGGTCCCGTGCCACGGCTTGCGTTCAGCGGTGAATACAAGCTGCTAATGACAATAACGTTTGCCGATCCCTTCCTGTTGGGGTAAACCAGTCACGTAAAAGACGTAACTTGTACCTTTCCTCTAGAGGCAGGGCAGTGCCTGGCACTTGTCTCACACCTGGAAGCTGTGAGAATCCACAGGTCCTGCTGCAGGAATTGGTGGGGCCGTAGAGCTCTTGGTCCAGGCGATGCTGATGTTCACAGGCGAGTTGCGCGAGCAGCAGAATGAGCGAAATCGGACACTCTGCGAACGCGCAGCCGCTCTCTCGGTCACCCTGTCGCACAGATCCTGCGTGCTGCCGTAACCGTAGCCGTCTGCCCTCCTCCTCAGCAACACGCGGGTGTGCTGTGCTTAGTCTGGAGCGTATGCGGAGCGACTGCTGCCAAAGGGAAAGTGTAACGACTGAGCTGTACCTGCCCTCCCCACAGGCAGGAACTTGGATCTGTCCCCTCAACTGCTGGTGCGCTGGTGGGAGTTTCATCATCTTTAAGGCTCTTCCCTCTTTCAATCTGAAACCGATTCAGAAGCTTGTGGGAATGAAGAGAGGAGAAACACGCTGAGTGGACGTAGCGTGTGATCGCATAATTTCTTTTTCTCTTGGAATTAACTTACCTACGAACTGACCCAGCTTGATAATCAGTGATACCGTATTACTAAAAACAGCACACGTGGAGTCTGTAACGGGATTATGTAGAGAGAGAGTTGGTTTTCAATCAGAACTGGTTTTGAAGCCTGTGGTCTGACAAGTTGCTTCCCAAAGCAGCAAGAATAAGACAGAAAATTAAGTTCACATTTTTGCACGGGCACTGTTTTGTGTTGTGTCCCTCAGCTGAATCCTGCTGCTCACTCAGGACAGTGTACAGAAGCCCCTGGACACTTCCACGGATCTGGTTTCTCAGATTGTCAAAAATCCACCAAAAATACCGAGGCGTATTGTTGATTCACGTGTGCTCTGAAAGACTAACTGAAATATGTGTGAAGTCACTGACTGCTATTGCAGCTTCTAGAAGTTCTGTTCTCCAAATCCCTTGTTCAGTTTCCATACAAGTGCCCTCTAAGAGCTGCCGCGAGATTACTGCAGTGGCAGGTAACTCCATCCATCTTCCCTTCCAGTGTGCGTTACGTTCCTGGGAAGATTCTACCAGAGCCTAAAGGACAACGATGTTGAGTTCACGCCTGCCAGTATTGAAAAGGAGCTCTTGAAATCCTGCAAAGAAGCAAAAGGCAAAGAGAACCGCCTGGTAAGTAGCAGTAGTAGTCGGTGATACTTGCCTCTTGAGGGAATAAGTTGTAGAATACTTGGCAAACGAGGGGAAACTAGTGCTTCTGAGTTTGTATGATATGGCTTCCCAGGGGCTGTTCTCCCTAGCTCTGTGGCCACAATTGGTCCTGTATTTTTTGTAAGAGAAGACTTGAGGAGTTCGACCTCTTCACCTAAAAAAAACCCCAAAAAAACCCAACCAAAAAAAAAAAAACCCAATCTGTCAACAGACATCTTACTGGCTGACCTTGTTTCTCCCTGTTAGTGAAGCGCTGGGGATTACAAAGCTTTTATTTGCTGTAGGACTTCCTTGTCCCTTAAACTGTATTTGGGGTGCTATATAAGCTGTTAAAATATTTATGCTCTTTGGCTGTTCAGCTGAAAACTAAATAAAGGAAAACCAAATTGCCCTAGCGAAAAACAGAAGGCGATCCGCAAATGAAGAGCCCCAAGGAAAAGGCCCTGAACTCTCCTAAGAAGAAAACTGCAGAGAGACACCATCAGAAATGCAGAGGGGGAACGCTTCAGAAAGTCTTTCTCCTTAAAGGAAGAAGACTTTATTCTTAATCCAATCTAATTTTTTAAAAAGTTGAGAAACAAGACAACCAGCCTCGACAGCTTTAAAAGCAGTGTGATGGGAAACGTCTCAGTACCCCGGGCTCAGAGTTAGGCTTCCTTTTGCCTGTCTGTGGCGGTCCCTTGGAAAGGTTCTGTAACACTAAACATCTAGCTGCAAAACCACGTGAGGAGAGAAGATGGATAGAAAACTCTCCTTTTAGAAGCATTTTTCCGTGCGTCCCCACCTCGCTCTTTTCTTCCCTCTAGTGCTATTATGTTGGGGCCACAAGTGATGCAGCCACCAAAATCATTAACGAGGTATCAAAGCCCATGAGTCATCACATCCCCGTGGAAAAGATCTGTGAGAAACTAAAGAAGAAAGACAGTCAGATCTGCGAACTAAAATACGGTGAGTTGCCAGCATAAGGGGAAATGCCCGTGCTTTTCTGGGGTACGGGTCATTTGGGGTAAAAGAGCATGTTAAAACTACTCAGTCCTAAGTTCCGCAGCAAGATCACCTGCCTAGTTAGGTTGCACAACCTGGGTTGCTCTCCATGAACATCCCAGAGAGACGCTCAGGTAAGATCGTTGGCTACTAACCCTTTTTAGCTTCTGCAGAGCCACTTGATCTGCCTTGAAATAAGTAACTCCCAGGCATATCGGCGCTACTGCGCTCAAGTCGCTATTTAGAAGAGCATGCAGGGAGGCTTGTCCTGGGGAGCAGCCGGGTGTGCCGCTATGGCCTGGGTTCGAGCCCTTAGCTAAGCTCTGTAGTCCTAGCTGCTCTTACGTTTGCTAGTGGCGGGTTGATAAACACTTCTTTCTCACCTCCTCTGGTGTCTGCTCAGAGCATTCAGCACTCTGTTTCTTACCACCTGCCTTGAACTCTCGCGTTCCTAGATGACGTACTCTTCCTGAAAAGACTAATATGAAGAACAGTCTTGGAAATACCTCCTTCTGGCTGCTTTCCTATCTCTCTGCCCTTACATTCCCCGGAGACACCCCTTGGATTGTGGGTCTTCATACTTCTCATTTCTCGTACTAATGTCCTGTTGCTTCCTAAAAAGCTTTTTGTCGTTGTCACTTGCTTATCTTTTTCTTCCGAAATCACTCTGCTACCTTTTATTTATCCAGTGGAAGAGAGAATTAAAGCATTGCTGCTCATATAATAAAGGGGCTTTCAGGGCTGTTGTGGAACTCCTACATCTAAGCTGCAACCAAACTTCCTGGCTTCTAATAATGACTTTCCGTGTTAAAAACCTTACCTGCTGTCACAAGCCTAACTTAGACCTTCCTTCCGCCCCCCGGAGCCCGGCACCTCTCTGCCTCTCTCATTTTGGCTTCCCCGCCTCCCGCACCGGTCTCCGCAGCAGCCGCCGCCGTCGGA